TTGAGTGGGAATTTTTTTTCCTTATTTCAGAGGTATTAAAAATAGTCATCACAGTTTACAAATTCCTAAGCTCTACTGCCTCAGTTTTAAACAAATATTGGCACAACTGATGATTCAGTCAACATGTTTCTGTCCTCTACACTTGACTTATAATGAACAGTTGGACAATCAATAATTACTTAGGCATTTAGGCTGAAGACTCCTAAGAGCAAGAAAACACATTTTTCTAACATACAGAATAATGTAGATTTTGCTTAGGAGAAATAAGCAATAGCACTATATGAAATTGATATAGTGCAGGTACACACGTGTTAGATGTCCACCAGGCTATCCAGGTCGAATTCACTCAAAATCAAACTCAAAACTCCTCAAGCTTTGAGTATTACACATATATATGTGCATGTATCTCTCAAGGTTTTGGTACTAGTACATCACTGTATTGAAAAAGAAAAAGCTTGCATTAAATTGAGTCTGTATTACCTTACCATTTACAGTTTAAGGCTTTAAAACTCACAGATTTTCTATGCAAAAAGCTAAAGAGTTTTAAAACTCACTGAGTCTCTACTTTCGTTAATGCAGATCCATGGATGCATTGCAAATAGCCACCAAGAGCTGTCCCAATAACAAAGCAGAGCTAATTTAATATAGGTAAAGTGGTTTTGGTTTAGAAAATGCATCAATTAACATAAAACATTCAGTTTTATTGGCTGTTAGGAGCAAGCCAATTCTTAAAGCCAGTCAAATAAAAAACACATCAGAAATTATTTGAACTGAGTTTGTTTGAACACAAAAGGCCATAACTTAACCAACAGGTTCTTGGATGTTTTCATCTTTAGCACTAGAACACAGTGTTCTCAGTTTCTCTGAAAACAAATCCATACTTGAAATCAGCTCACTACACTTGCCTTTAAAGGCACAGCCTTTTTATTTTAGTATGTATATATTATTAATGTGATTTTTATTATTTATACAATAGTAGCTATTTGAAACAGTTTTTACCACAACTCACATAAGAAGTCTGGTATGGATTACTGTTACTGCTAACCACAATTCTTTTTAAAAGAAGTTGCTCACTATATATATTGTGACATTATTTGCTAAAACCACTAACCACCATTTCATCATCTGCACAACAGTTCCAACAAGTGCAGCAACCCTAGAGTGATGCTTGTAATTTTAGTGAATTTAGGATAATTCATATGTAAACCGTGAGCTGAAGATTTGGGGATCCAAATTTATTTCAAGAGAAATATGCATCATAATTATTGTCAGCCAAAGGCCAAACTCTTTGCTCTCTAGACATAACTGTGTTGCTGGAACATCAGTAGGAGTCACTTCTTAGAATAGTACTTGTTTTGGAGTTTGCTGAATAACTGCCAAGTGAAAACAGCTCATTTTCAGGTTAACAAGATGGTTTTGTAATTTAGAAAAAATTCCTGTCATGCAAATTGGAGAGCTAGCATAGCTGTTATCAGAGAACCTGGACCAGTGCCCTGGAACAATAAATTGCAGCTAACTAGCATAGCAAAACTTTATCTGCTAAGTGCCAAATGAGCAAGATTGCTTGTGTGCAATATATATAGATAGATATGATTTACAAGGATGTCTTGAAATCTTCAGTTATCACAGATTCAGCCTTAACTCTTATTTTCATACATTGCCTGTGCAAGTCAATACAGCAGAGTGGTTGAAAACTTTGGATTGAGAAGTGAATTGTTTAAATCTCCTCATTTACTCCTTGGAGAGTGCAATGCAATGAGAGCTGTCCTCATCCCATCTACAAACAGCAGCTGGAACACAGCATGCTTCTTATTACAATCAATAGATGCAGTCTGCAGAGTCATCTCCCAGAAAGGTCTCCATGCCCTCCAGCAACAGCACATGGGGATAATCCTGCTTGTACTGCAGGAACATATAAAAACAGAAAAGTAAATTTTTTACAGAAGTCAACTAAAACTTCTGTTAGCCTTAAAACCCCTCAAGCTGAGGAGTTTACATAGAATGTGACAGCTTCCTGGAAAAAAGTTCTGCACAATTAGAGCAAGGACTTCACCAGGGGGTTCAAAGACCTGTCAACTTGATGGCCCACATGGTGCCCACATGTTGTACACAATCTACTCTTTTTTGGTTCTTAATACAATCCTTACATAGAGAAAACAGCTACAACTCTTGCTTCCCTCTGTCAACAAGCTCACTTAAAAATAAGAGCTTCCACCTCACCAAATTTCATTGAGGTATCACGTCTTACTGCCACTGACAATACAGTGGTTATGCTGGAGAGAAAGCAGAGCCCAAAGAAAGAAGACTTGGAACTGCTGCAGAGAAAAAACAGAACTCTAGAAAAGAGGAAAACTGCTAAGAGCAGAAAGGGGATGAATCAATGAGGGGGGGAAGTCAGCAGTACTTCTAAAAAGATAATCTTGATCCCTCATTTGGCAACACGGAATGGGATGACTGGAATCCCACAAATGCAGTGGCAGTGGTTAGACACACACGGGGCACCCATGGACATCAGGGACCAACAATGACGTGTGAAAAGGGCACACAGAACATAGAGAACCGGGGCTGGGTGGGGGAGCTGTGCGTGGGTCTGGTTTGGGTTTAGCTCTCTCATTTGCTGACTATAAATAACTGCAAATAGCCAGATTAACCAAGGAGCCCATGATTCAGCAGTGGCTAAATATGGTAACATCTGGCAGATACATTTATGATAAAGTATTATTTTGAAAGTCCTTAATTTTTTCTTCAAACATCAATTATTCAGGATTTGTGTACTGTGTACTCTTGCTCTATGTAAAGGCAAACCTATGTATTGTGCAATTCATATTGAAATTTCAGCAGAATAAAAACCACATGCAAAGTACAAGAAATTTCTTTTTCAGCCATGACTTACAGGATTCTTCCAGGCACAAACTTATGGCTGTGTAGGTTAAACCAAAAGGGTTTTTCCCTGTGTTTAGATATGGGATATCTTTAAATCAGGATCACCTAAAAGGCAACATCCAAAGCTTTGTATTCATCATTTGTTTTCCCTAGATGTTTGAGCAGGTGGGAGTATAACACATACTCATTCTTTAGTTTCTTTCTAAACATGTTCCTATTTTAACACTTGGTATGAACAACGAAGCATCAATTCAATAGTTGTGGTTTGGGGGCTTTTTTAATAACAAAATTCAAAAGCCTGCTGTTGGGGCAATTATAATATGATAAACTGTGTTTTGTTAGCTCAGAACTTTAAGGAGCCAGGACACAAATGGATCTCTGTGTGTATGTAGAGATCCACACAGTGCTCTCTAATGGCATTTTGTAACTCAAAGTCTACCTCACAAAGATTTCTGTAAGTATAGTAGAAAAAGTTAATTTAAATTCAAGTTATGCTGCACACAGAAGAATAAAACTGCTAAGTATAATCTAAGGAAAAAATTCTAAATATTATTGTATAAAACCAAAATACTGGCTTTAAAAAGATGGTAAAAAATGGTACTGTTCAAATATTGAAGAAATAGAAAGTAAAGCAGTTCCACTTTTTCATGGTTTTGAGAAGTGGTACCCACCACAAAAAAAGGTCACAAAAAAGACACAAAAAAGGTCAAAAAAACGAAGCTAAAACAATGTATACTTTAACATTGTAACAAAGTTCTTACAGACTTCTACAACAGGATTTGAAAACAGGACTCAAGTTACTTGTCAATAGACCACACCTCTATCCTTGAAAATAAGATTGTGAAAGGGCATGTCTCTTAAAGAAGTTCTCTTAGCATTGAGAGAACTTCTGCTCTAGCTATTAAAACAAAAATTCTATAATCTAAAAGTACTGATGGAACAGAAATATTTAACAGAGACAGAATGACCCAGACTATGCTTGGAGGTTTTCTGCGGCATCCTTTCAAGGACTGCAACCTCTGGCATTTAATGACGTTCACATTTATCACCAAACAGGATTTGCAGTAGGTGTGCACCCTCATAGCTCATGCTTCTGTCTCTTTGTTTATTTAAAGGGTGTGTTGGTCTCACACAGTTCTGTTTGAATAAACACAGAACTGTGCACAATCAAATGCACACCCACCCTTTTGACGTCAAATATTTCCCAGGATAAACAGCAATGGTTTATGTGTTTTATGAACTTGCATCTTCTGGGGTATTTGTGGTCAAAACAACAGAGAAATACCAGATTTTTTACTTAATCATAGCTCACTTGAAAACAAGATAATAGGAGCACCTGGAAGGTCTTACCTTGCAGCACTTCCATCGGAAGGACGGTCCAGGCATTTTCCAGGTACGAGATGTAGATGTATCGTGCTGTGTTACAGGCAAGGCCAATATAAAGCACTCTAAAGGAAACAAAGAAAGGAAAAAGTCAGGACAGTCTGCACTTTCCCTTTCTGGTATGTTATAATACAGCTTACTGATTTAGAACTTATTTGCATGCATATGGTTTGCCAGTCTAAAGCATTTGCTCAACAGAAAATATATCCTTTAAGTCCTACTCCCAAACATTAACTCTCGTCCTGCCCATTCAACACATTCAAAATCCTAATAGAAAAAAAATAAATCAAAGAGACAGCAAACCCACTGAGCTTTTAATTGAGGTCTGTAGTTCTATGCCACACTCTAAATGGGATTGTGTTTCAGAGAGAGAATTTCTGAGTGCATTCAACATCCTTTCCAAACAACCTGCTTTTCTAATCATCCAGAGATTCATTCTGCCATTTCAATGAAAGCCTGGAGCAGGTTTGTATTAAAGGAATTAATTTTAACCCAATTAATATAAGTTTATAGTCCCAGTATCTGCAAACTGCTCAGAACTACTCTAAAACACATCCCACAGAAGCAATATGGTTTGTAATAACATGCCTCAGGATAAAACTTAGCCATCCTGTTGAAAAGCAGCAGATGCTGCATCTCAGAATTTAGAGGGAAAAAAAAAAACAACAAAAACTCTTACAACAGCTTTTAAACAATGAAATACAAAGACTATTTGTGAAGTGCATTTCCCATTGCACATTTAACCTGATGACTCTTCCCTTCCAGTTTTTAGATTTAGCATAGCTTCCCTCTGGGGTGCTCATTCATCCAGCTATCTTCCTCTTATTTTTAGATGGATCTTGGGAAACAAAGACTTAATTGAAAACATGTTTACAGCTTGAAAAAGGGTGCTATTGCAACCTTTGAAGATTTTTTTCAGGGACAAGGGTAATTTGTTGTCCCAACAGGGCTTGTTGTCTGAACCCTGGTTGGGCATAAGTGAAATAAATGCAATTGGTAATTAAGGTGAAGCACTGACCTTGTGAAAGGGCTCCTTATTCTTTGTGCTGCTTTTTCAGTTAGTTTTTCTACAAATGCACACCAATAATTAATTAAATGGTACAGAGCCACTGGAAAATCTAGAGTGAGACACCATCACGAAAACACAGCATCTTGCCAACATCTGAGGTCTCCTAATACACATGTTGACAATGAAAAACCCACTACCAGAGTTTTTATCATGTCAGTGGTATCAAAAAAGGCCTGTGCATTTCACAAGATGAATTTACTTTCAACAAGCAGGGCAAGCTGGCAGGAAGTCATCTCCCCTCAGTCATAGATCAAACCAAGCTGTGCTGCTTCCAGATACATGTGAGGTCCATGAATAGCTGGTTTAAGCTGCCTTTAGGCAACAAAAGCCCAAGCATTCAAGGAAGAAAACATGGGAAGCCATGAAAAAGTTCACTGTTATACAATAATGAGAACAAACTTGTTCTTTGTGCTGTGAATCATAAATTTCATCTCATCCTTTAATTAATGCCTTCTGTTCCAAACCAATAACTTGGTTCCTTTCATAGCCACAACTTAACATAGCTCTTATGTAAAACCACATTTCTGAAATGTATTAGGACACATCAGCCTCAAAAGGTAACCAAAGTCACAAGGTCTGCAGGCTCCTGTCTTCACTCTACTTCACCCTACTAGAAAGGCCCAGGCTGATGCATACTCTCAGGAATACAAAGGAATGGCCTCACATTTACATTTGGTTTTCCTCAGCAGCAGTACAGATGCACCTCTCTGTTTAGGATGAGTTCTAGACAGCTTAATTTCACTTTTGTCTAGCAAAAACTTTGCTCACCAAGAACTGTCTTCCTATCTCAGCTGTTCCCTAGCACAGCCAGACCAGAGATGTGACCTCCTGCTGCTTCAGAGCTCTTCCATCATCACTAACACTCACCTACCTGTGTTTTTCCAACATGTTACATTTGCAGAAAGATTTGGATTTGGAGTTTAAGAGCAGCAATTTAGTCAGGTTCTACCTCTTAATTTGTTAGAATATATGTACAGAATTTAGGGTAAATTACAGTTTATGAAGATTTCTATAAATATAGTTTTGGAGGGGTACGTCACACGAAAACTTTTGTATATTTACAGAGTCTTTTCAAAAATGCACTTATAATAATCACGTAGGCTCCCTATCAGACCTAAGTGGAAAATGTAAACAGATGTTCCCTATGAACCCTATATGCAGCACCCACAGAGACACCATACTCACTTCACAGGTTACACATTTAAAGCACTGAATCTATATTTGTGACAAGGAGTCTGAGCTGTTTACAGCCATGACTACCAGTCTCTGCTTCCCATAAAAGCTCACAGGCTGGAACTGTGGTCAGACAAACACATTCTAGCTTAACCTCAAGTAGGAAGTTATTTTCAGAGCTTGACATCATCTTCTTAAGTGACTAGCAGTTCTGAGTGCTTCTACACCAGGTGGGATCTAAATATTTCATAGCCAGTTTTGCACGTTTTTTTGCTCACAGTATCATAGAATGATTTGGGTTGGAAAGGAACTTAAAGATCATCTAGTTCCAACCCCTCTGCCATAGGCAGGGACACCATTCATTAGGCCAGGTTGCTCAAAGCCCCATCCAGCCTGGTCTTGGACACTTCCAGGGATGGGGCAGCCACAGCTTCTCTGGGCACCTCTGCCAGGGCCTCACCACACTCACAGGGAAGAACTTCTTCCTAATATCCTCTCAAAGAAACACTAAAAGCACACATGCACTGCACAAGTGTATGAAAAGTAGAGCTAATGAGGTCAGAAATTGGGCATTTTAATCAGCAAATATTTAATATGATCACGCATAAAACGCTTGGACAATAATCTGAACATTAGTTTTAAAAAACTGTGAAAACATAGGAGGTTTCAAACTGTTGTAAGGGTTTTATATGCCACCACATACAATGGTAGAAACAGAAAGATTTTTAAGACTTGAAAAGGGAAACTGAGCTTCTGTCTGATAAGGTGTAAAGCCCATTTCCTTGCAGTTCCACAAAGGACATTCAACAGCCTTTTTTCCTGCTATTGTGACAATGAATGCAATTCTGGTACTCATGCCTGTCTTCAAACACTTGGCACAGAAAGAAAAATTGAATGACAATATTCAAACACTTCAGAAAGAAAGTCTACATCTAGAAGTCCAACAACCCAGAGGAAAGGAATTTTGAGCTATTAAAAATAGATAAAATATCCACACCAAATGCTTCTGACTAAGGATATGGAGTCGGAGGCTACTGGAACTTTATTCCTAATAGGAAAATTATTATCTGCACTAGAAGGCAGCAGACAACACATACACAGAACTGTCAAAGAAGATGAGCTATGAACTCCTATCCATATTTCTTTGGGGAAGAAAAAAAGAAAAGCTTGCTTCCTCTCAAACACACAAAGTTCAGAAAGTACAAGGTGGCAGGCAACCAGGAGGAGTCATCTCAAACTGTGATGACTAAACACAAGCATTAGATAACACTAAAATATGACTAATGTGCATTCCCCAGGTGTAGGTATGTAGAATGCTGTTTCATAGCAAACAGGGACTAGTGTTTAAACAATTCAATCTTGATCCCATCTTGGCTTCACAGGCTTAGCAGTACCAAAAAAAAAATAAGGAAAAAAAAAGGAACTGATCCCGTCTTATCATCCTTCTTTTCAATGCCCAATGGGCCAATGCTCCCATTCCCTCCATTTAATCTTATTCACAATCCTATCACTCTTTCAGTTTTCATTCTTTAGCTGAAGTCTAAGCCTGAATTTTGTACTATAATATACATTGAAAGAGCATACCCAAGCTATCTTTAGCTATGAAGACTGTGATCTGTTCTCACCACTCCTCCATCATCATATCCTTCCTCCAGGCTTTGCATGCAAGGTGTCATTTTCTCTTACTAATTATTGTCAAATTCAGAGATTAGGACTGACTCTAAGTAAAGAGATCCTCCTCAGTTTCAAGTAAGAAAGAACTCCATCTTTTAAGTAATCTCTCAAATTACTATGCTAAACATCTCAAACATTTTTAGTAGAGGGCAAATGAATAAAAATATTCCTCCCAATAAAAGCAAAATGAAGAGCGAGACCTTAGAACAGAATACACAAAAAGAACAGTGCAAACAGCTTAAAAATACTTACATCTCAATGCCTGTATGATTATAAACTGGGTATTTGGAAAGGATATGATGCTAACAACATACAGCTCTGAACTTACATGAACAGAATACCGGAGTAAATATTAAAAAAACCACCTCTGCAGCTTCATCAACTCAGGTTTTCCCCATCTTTCCTCCCCTGTGTTTTTTTTTTTTAAAGTAGAAGAGGGATTTAGAAGGCTAGTAAGTCAATGTAGTGAATTTACTGGAAACCAATGCTCACTAATACGCTGGAAGCAGTCGCTTTCACTTACACAAGGCAAGAACAACAGGACAAGCCCTGCAACCATCTCACTTCATAGCTGACACACACACTGCAACTGAAGGAGGAGAGCAAGCCCTGAACTAGTAAGTGACACTGCCAGGCTGCAACCTCATTCTGCCAACACCTAGAGTCTGATTACGAGGCCATGTACACAGGAGGTGCTCACCTCGTTTCCTCAGCTCAGCTTCTCCCTCTCAGCCTGCAGCTGACACCTTGACACCTTTCCAGGCTACCGTGGGGGCAGCGAACTGCCCTGCAAGGGGAACTAGGCTAAAGCAGAATGCTGCTACTCACAGGAAAAAAACTGAAAAACTAATGGTATTTGTATGTCAAAACAGACAACCCTTGAGTGGGTGGCAATTTGTAAAGATCTCAGAGCGATGCATCAGGGAACAAGGCTATCTTCTGGAACCATCTGCAAAAGGTTATGGTGCCAGGCAGAAAGCACATACTAACATGCAACTCAAATGCAAAGCAAGCATTTCAGAGCATTTTCAACTCTTGAAATAACAAAAAAAAAAAAAAAAAATCCATCATGTGAGCCACAAAACTGAGCAGGAATTAAAAAAAAAAAAATAGTTTGAGTTTCACTTTGTAGCACAAGGGCTGAGCCTGAGAGTCACCATTTTTTGTATAGCTCTTTAATGATTGCTGCCATCTTACCTGATGTGACCAACCAATTCAATGAGTTTGTGGCTGAAGAAATAGGCAGTCAGCTCAGACACGTGGCTGAGCACAGAACAAACTCCAAAGAGAGTGGTGGTGCCATTCAGGTCTTCCAAGTGCCAGTACAGAAAGGTGAACACAAAGCCATATCCAAACCCCATGAACCAGGCCACGAAGAGCACGGAGCCATACTGGATACTGCACAGCAGTTTAATTAGGTCCCAAAAACTGAAAGACTGTGACTGGCTCATACTGGTAGGAGTGTTATCTGAAGATTCATTGGAGGCATTTCTGTCCACCTGTGAGATCTCGACCTCTTTCCTCTTATTTTCATCTTGCTTGAAGTGCGTGTAATGAAATCGAAACTGGGTGGCCACAATCAGAGCCATTGTCATGAGGACACCAAAAACAATGAAAACGATCCTGTAGTTCTTGTACTCTGGAGCTTTACATCCTTGACCTTCAATGGCAACTTCTGTGTGAGTATAGTCAATGCCAATGCCCACGGAGAGCATGGCCAGCCCCCAGCCCAGAGACCCCCACATACGCTGCAATCCATAGCGGTCCCGGTGTTTGCCGAGGTACTGCAGGGTTATGGTGTCCACAATGGTAACAGAGGAAGCACTGAAAAATTCTCCTATTATGACAACCAGCAGAATGAGTAGAAAGATGGCCTCTACTTCTTGCTGATCATAAACAAGCACAACTTGGTCAGAAGGCATGGGCTTTGTGCTGATGGAAGCCGGGGTGCTCAGAGTTGTGTTCCCTAGTGAGACTGGGCTAGTGGTGGTACTTAGCAAAATCAAATGGGTACTGTTCTCCAAGGTAAAATCCTCACCATTGCTCTGTGTAGGTACTGGGAATGTTATTTCAGGATTAGGCGTCCCTGTTGTTTCCAAAGTGGCTGAACTGGAAGTGACCAGGTCTCTCCTCCCACGAACTTTTGGGGATGCAGCACTCACTGTGGTTAGTGGAGAAGCCATGGAGGTGTTTTGCAGGATTGTTGTTAAAAGGCTGCTTGCGTTGGTGGGATGTGCAGGGGGAAGGCCCTTTGGTACACATCTTAAGGTGGCTGGTCTCACAAATCCAATGCCCAGGTTGAACAGAACCCAGCATAAAAGAGAAAACAGGAGGACAATCTTGCCTTTCTTGAAGCGATCTGCCACCACTCCCCAGAAGGGAGCACTGCAAAACTCAATAAAGTACCTGATGCCCACCAGAAGTCCACTCTGGCTGGGGGTCATACCCAGCTGCTTGTAGTACACGGGCAGCAAGGGGTAGAGAGAGCCATATGCAGAATAGAAGAAAAAATAAAAGACCTTTGAGATCAGAAGATCGTTGTTGATTTTGACACAGTGCTTTTCTAACCAATCCAGCTCTTCATCTGGGGCAGTGGTTGTCTCTGTGGAAGGGGATTCATTATTGGGTGGCAAGTCTTGATCCTTGGAAATGCCATTGAAAGGATCTGCAAGCACATACTTTCTCTTCTGCTCTTCTTCATCGTCGGTTAGAATGGCCACCTTATCATCAGCTGCCATGGTTTACCACAGGCATCCAGGATCTGGTGGCCTCTCAAGGAACTAGGGCTACCCTGTGAACAAATAAAACATCAGGTGGTTAAGGAGAGCAGGACCTGCAATGCCAGCCATCAAGGACAAAGACAGCCTCTTTCTTGTAAGTAACATTCCTGAGCAATAAATGCAGTGTTCAGGGTGGAGAAGACCATTTGTCTAGACTAGTGGTACATGGTAGCATCAATAAAAATGTGTTTTATCACCAATTCTGTGAAGTTCTCCCAACATCAGCTTTTATATTGTGCAACAAAACATCTTTCATGTTTAGGAGAGAGAATAACTTATATATTCAGAGTTACTGTGGCAATTAAGTGCTAGTATTTTCAAGTTCTCTTCTTTCAAGTTAGCTTTTCTCCCCCAAGGCTAACTGCTTTATTTCCAGTATTCCCTCCTATGCCAAAGGATAGCCATGATTTTGTAATTAAGCAATGTAGCCACATATATCCAGGTTATTCTGATCATCAAAACATATTATCCAAAGCCTCATGATGGCCTTCAAAAGGCTCGGCAATCTCCTCTTGAAACACATTTTTCTAAGCACTCCACAGCTGCAGCAGAAGTTGATGGGAGGCTTGAGCTTCTACACTGAATGAGAAGAGGTGGGAATTAGGATGGGGCTTTAAGATGAAAATTAGGGTAACAATCTCAAAGACATCAAAGACCTGGGATTGTAGAAACAGACACAGGCCCTATAAAGCTATCTTCAAGTCAAATTCTGAAATGGAAAAGAGGTGGACTGGGAGGTAACAGCACTGCAGCTGCCTGCACTTATCTTCTGCAGAAGTGCCAGCCAAATTGATAAGCAACACTAAAAAATAAACAATCCTTAGCCTTTGAGTGACCAGCCAGCTTTCAGATTTAAAAACAACCCATTCCAATAAACTAACCTAGCTAAGAAAAGCTTCCTTTTCAAAGAACAAAAACCAGCTCTGCCAGCAGACTATCAGCTCCAAATTATTATTAAAAAACTGGTTTTGCTCTGTTGGTACCTTTAAATTTAACCTATAAGATCACCTCATGTTCATTGTGAGAAAGTTAAATATTTTATATATTTTGGTTTTATAATCCTTTCCTGTTTGGATTAGTATTACTATCACAGAGTAACTTTTTCAAGGACCAGTATTTGCAAGGAGAACCAGAAGAATCTGAAATTTCTCAAAGAGGACTCCATTTGTGATCTTGACCTGCTCAAGGAATTTGAAATTGGACAGGATGATCCTACTGACTTCCTTCCAACTCAGGATATTATATCATTTTATGATAAGTATTTTTTTGCAGTTCTGTACTTTATTCCAAGTAGAAGAGGACACTGAAATAAGTCTTTCATTACTCATCTGAAAGCACAATATCATCCCTTTAAAATTAGTCATACAACAGTATATTCAGTGTCTTTAAATTAACTATAATTCATCATTATTTAATACTGACAATGGATTTGGAATGGATTATTTAATACTGACAAAGGCTAATAAGAGAGAAGAGACTAACATTCAGTAGTATGTTAAATTAATTGTCCCCTATTGATTCAACATATAACAGCTGACAACGTGCCATGGCTATTTCTAAAAACAACAGTTCATGAGAATAATCTAAACCTTACACAGTTCAGTGAAAGACAAGTCTAAAAATACCATCATTAAAATCCCAAACACTCATAAGGTTTGTCTATGTTTTTCACTTTTAAATGTCACTTCTATAGGATACTATCTACGAGGATCTCTGGTTTCACTTAGGGAGAAAAGGCTTCATACAAATCTTGGAACCTTAAATATTCATGTATTCAAGGTCAGAAGTAAATTAAAACCATGCCAGCATATACACAGAGATTCAAGTTTTTTCCTCCAGTTTCTTCAGAGACAATCCAATTAAATTTTTTAAAAAGTATTTCAACTGTCAAAAGACTAGACAGCCCTAATTAAGTTGTTAGAACAGTCAAATGTGAAAGCACATTTTCTTGCTCTTACCTGTTATCATCAAAAGCCACATGAACCAAAACCCAGCAGCTGTCTAGTGAGCTCCTGCAATTTTTGGTTCAGCCAACCACATCCACCTGACAGGTGGAAGAACTGTGGGGTTTTTGCTCATTTCTATATCCATAAAACAAGCCCTTCTAATGAGTAAATTAGATCAGTCATCATCTGTGCTTTTATTTTCTTTATGCCTTCCCTTTCTCTGACAACAAAGACTCCAGATCTTGTGCAGGGCCCCACTTATGTCAAGGGGATGTAACTGAGCTTTCAGTATATGCTCATCTGTTTACAGCAACTTGCTGGCTTGCTGCATCAGAGCTTTACAGCATTTACTTCTGAAGAATAGATTTCCTGTTCCCCAGACATGACAAGATAGAACTCACATTTTAACCACGTGGATATTTTAGGAAAACTTCTTTGTAAGTATGGCTTGAAATCATCCTCATTTAAACAAGTTTATTCCTGTATATGAGCTCTGAAACAGCTGGTTTCATACAAATAATATTGAAAGCTTTTAGAGCAATTACTATTAATTTTGTTTCCCTTTTCTCTTGAAGTGGAATTTCAATTCCATATGTTGTATGAATAGTGAGAACATAAATTATGATACTGTTAATCTTTAAACTCTTCAGTTGCTGCATACTCTTCCCCCCTCCACAATTTTTATTGGCTTCAGCATCCATCTTCTAATGCATTGCATAATCCAAAAGATCCACTCCTGCTATTCTGACTAGAACATCCTGGGTTAGAAGGCTATGAAAAGTCTATTTCAAAATAATTTCAATAAATATTTTCCCACACTAAGAGCTTCATTGAATGTTATTAATAATACAGAATATACTCTTCAGAAATATAACAGCATCAAGAGTGGTAGGAGCCATATGGCATTCTTTATTGTTTTGATCACTAGTTTGTTTAGGAGTCAGGTTTTTGAAAGTCATATTAAGCAATGTTTTAAATTCTAAAAATAATTGACTGAAAACAAGAAAATGAGCAAAGTATTGTTGCTGAAAGAAATCTACAAAAACCCTGAACCAATGGGGATTTCCTCCTATGGCAAAAACCCCGTGCCAGTCAGGGACTGAACACGTAGCAAACTAGACAGATGGAAAAACCAATATACTTCTCAGTGATAAGAGACTAGTTATCTATTGGTTATTTTAACCATTGCCTTCAAATACTGTTTCTGTACTTTGCAAATACTTTTCTAATGCATAAGACTATAGAAGGACAGAAGACAAGCACAACTGAGATCAAACAACAGAGAACAGGAATAAGGAAGAAAGGTTAAGAGAGTTAACAGATGGACTTCAGAGTGATTATAAATTTTAACTCATTTGAAGAGAACACAACATTCTGGGAGAGGTCTGCTGAAGGCAATCAGCTCTGCCAGGACAAATGGGATCACAGAGGTTGCAGAGTGGTACCTTCACTCTAAAAACAGGAATAATGGGTTGGAGGTGTGACCCCCAAACTTAAGGTTCAGAAACACACAAGAAAGCCCTGAGATGTACATCGGAAAGAACTCCTCCAGGAACCCTGAGAAAGCCCTGCAAAGGGTAAAGGAAAGAGGCGTAGCAAGGGCGCAGCACAGCAGCACACGTGTCACAAGACAGCGCTCTGGTCCTCCAACTAACAACCGAGCTTTTATCCTGACAGAGGTTTACATTTCCAAAGCGCTACAGAACTCAGAACTGGGAACCAGGCCCTTGTTCCTCACCATCCCATCACGCCTCCAGGGCTGCAATGGGAAGGAGCTCAGTGGGCGCTGCAGAGCCGATTCCCCCTCCCCAGCCGCGATCCCGGGGGCGGGCAGGGGGCGCATCCCTCCCCTCGCTGGCTGGCAGCGGCACCGGGAGCCCGGCACACACAGCGCTCTCAGAGCAGGATTGTTCCGTCAGATCACGCCTTCTCCCAACCTCTTCATGCACAACTGCGTGTGCTTCTCCTCAAAGAATGTACTTGTTAACCACAAGGCTCTTCTCCCTTCAAGATTTGCACAGATAAGATTTTTTAAATGTAAGTAGAAACTATTATTTTTTCTGAGTTTCCTGCCCCACATCATCCCACGTTGTTGTCACTTGCTTTAGTACCTATTCCTCAGCTCGTCAAAATCCACTTTCAAGCCCTTACATCTAGAACATGTTTTTTATCCAGTCATCTCCTGCAAACAGATACAACTTCCCTGCACATTTGAGCAGCTACCTTGGGAATGGAAGAAGAACCATTTGTCCCAAGAAATTCAGTGATGACAGCGCAGCGGTCATTTTAAAAACTGAAATGAGCCTCTTTGGCAGGTAGGTAGAAAGAGGGTATTCTACATTTAGTTAAGTATCTTCTTGGCATTCTTGCTTTTATTTCTTAAATCGATCCTCATTTAGTCTGTCTCTCCTAATAATTAACAGGATTTCAAGATCAGAAAGGATAAAAAGCTAATCTACTCAAGACAACCTGACATTACAAGAATAAAAACAAAAGTAACAAAGTAAAATAATAATACAGTATACTAAAAACTCAGCTCTCCCCTTGGAGTCACTCTTCCCAAAACTTTGGACCAAAAAACCCCTTTGCTTTGAACTATATCTCAAATTAAAAAAAAAAAAAAGGAAAAAAAAGTCAATCAAGAGATCAGCCTGGGGTAGCAAATCCCTAAACCTCTCAGGGAAAATACCACAGTACTTACAGAACCAGGCATTGAAACTTCATCTGTAGACCGACAGAAAGTTAGATCTGAGGTGAAAGTGTACTGTTGTTCTAAAATAAAGTTTAATTCACCATAAATATTCCATTCACTAGGCTTTGAGAATCAAAATATAATTAAGACTCACAAAGCAGAGACTCAAAATCTGGGTTTGAATGTATGTGAAAGTTAAAAGACAAACCACCAAAAAAACCCGTGACAGTTCACGAGAAGACAGTGGAAATGATCACGAGAGCCTTAACCCATTAAATACCTAAAAAATTACTAACTGTAGCAGATTTATATTTATACAGCCTCAGAAAACATACTCAGAGCAGGAATGATCAAGTAATCTCTCAAACAACATGCAGCTGTAGGAACAGAGCAGGCCAGCTTGCTGTTTGCATTGTGCAGATAAATCAAAGCCAGCCAGAACGGCATCTTTCACTGACTAGAAAACTCACTTTGTAGCAAATACATTGAAGTCCACAAGAAGTTTTCATACAAACATTTTAAAATCTGTTAATAGAAAAGATGTTTCTTCAAAACACTTCAAGTAACAAAGTATTGTTTGACGAAGAACAGGTCTGCTAGAGAAGGAGACTTGAAAACTACAGGAAGGCTCACCTCACTCATCCCCCAGCTGGTGAAACTGCCATGAAAGCATCCATCACACAGCTCATGCACACCACCTCCTCCTCAGCCACCCTGCCCCATCAATCCAAGCTCCAAAACCTTTGGAACAAAGACTTTCTGCTACAGCATCTGTGCAGCAGCTCCAGAAGGAAGCCCTGCATCCAGCAGGCCTACAAGGCACTGCTGCAGCAGCCATAAATAATAGACCATGTTTTCCATTTTCAAGCAACTTCCACCCCTAAGGAGCAGCCCGGCACTGTCGCCCGCATCCATGCCAAAAAGGAGGAGAATGTTATGCAAACAACTTACGTCATGGCAGAGAAGTAAGTGCCTGGACTCCATTCACTCTTGCATCACCAAGAGTTCCCAAGCCTCTCCCAGATAAGCCAACCTCCAGGCGGAGCCCTTGGATGGGCTGTTCCCTGCCAAGCCATCCAGAACAACGCCCACAGGTTGCCCCACATCATTAAAGGTAAGCACTTCTCCTGTGAGGCCCCAGCATGAGCACCTGACTGAATTTATACAATCAGAAACAATTCACATAGAGCGAATTTGTGCTGGGAAATGTACTTGTTTCAACTGTAAAGCAAGACGCAAGTGTTGTAACATTAACCAACGTAATTAGGGTTTCCATGAAAGTGAAACCACCTTGTTCAAAGTAAAGCACTTCAAACTGCTTTATTTTATGTTAGTGATATGCACTTACTTAATGTGTTGGGCTATAGGTTTTTCTGCTTCTTCATTATGGATATAAAAACTCTACACACTGAGACATTTAGTCAATTAGATTGGGAGATAACAGTATGCCTGAAATATGTCAAGATCAGGTTTATAATAGTTTTAATGCACCTAAGATAGGTCTAAAGCTGCTACAATGGTGCTGGTATTAACATAAAACTGAAGAACACTATGAATCCTCATCTATTAAAGAAAAATCATTAAACTCACATCTTAGGACTCCTGCATTCCAATCTTGTTTTCCATTTAATATTTGCACATTAAGATGTCCAATAATACGTGCACATTAAGATGTCCAAGTAGACTCTTATTTGTTAAAGAGCTTGTTTTTAGTTGGTATCAGCCTCCAGTTTTTTTAACCAGTTTTCCAGCTGTCAACTGCCTCCAAGGTTTACACTTGATTAATGCTGGTAATTTCCAAGCGTGCTTTCAGCTCCAAACCAGGCAAGTGCCCAGGGCATTCCAGGAGCACAGCACAGTGCTGCCAGCGCTGGGGAGGGACAAGGGCACCCAGCTGCCCCACCACGCCTGGCAGCAGCAGCAGTCCTGGTCTGCTGCAGGACAGCGAGGCCTTCCTGGCCATTCCAGCCTCTGGGATCAATCTGCAGGTGGATCATGCCACCAGCTCATAAATTCCCACACTGCTATATAAACTCAGGCCCATTGTACTGTAGCTGAGGACTAAGATGAATTTCAGGCTGCATTCAAGCTGTACCCTAGTACCAGCTCTGCTACTGATAAATCACAGCTTCCACCCATTAGCTCCTCACTTCGTCAGCTTCTACTCTCATATTCTCACTCCCCGTGTTTGATTTTTTTTTTAAAGTCTTCTTACTTGACTTTTACTGGCCTTATGACTACTACCACAAATACTACCCTTAAAGGGATGATTGTTTTCTTTTCGCCTATTCCTTGGTGGGTCTTCAGAGAACACAAACAACAAAATACATCACCTTTGTCTATTTCTAACCAGTGAAACAAAAAACACACACAAAATAACCAAGCTAGAAAACTAGCATTTTGTAATCTCTTTCCTTGGAATTACCAACTAGTGGACAACAAGACCTAATACATCTTAGTAATGTAATAACGTTTGGAGAAGTTTTTACTGAAATACTTCAGCACTATGTTTATTCAGCTGTTCTCTTCTGTACTAGGTTATCCAACCACGTTTATCACTCCTCAACACTGCACTTTTTCATTAACAGAAGATTTAAAAAGAGTCTGCTGCTAAAACTTTAGAGCCACTAAACAGACAGGGATTTAAAACGCCATCTAACTTAGAACATCACAGGCATCCGTAGCAGCTATGGCACCTTCAGCGCTGACTTCCTAAATAAGTATCTGTTCCTACGCTTGTTCCAATAAACAGACGAGCAACCGACAGCCCGCTTACTAAACCCCACGGTATTTGAAGGATGTAAGGGCTGTGGATCCGAGTGACAGCCACAAGTAACGCCACGCCTGGATGCTGGCGGCAAGGAGAAGTGCGGGGATGCCTGTGCAGGAGCTCCCGTGGGACACGGCCCGGCCACCTCCGGGACTACGACTGTCACCGGGGAGGGCAGGGGGTATTACACGGCTCGGCTTCAACCACGATGCTGAGCTTCAG